AGTCAGAGTCGAGCACCTTCATAGTCTTGATGACCCACCAGGCATTCTATCATTTGTCCGAAGCAAGGTACCATTATTCTCCAGTCTGTGCCGTTTCGTGTGATCTTCTATTATCAGAACGACCAAGGACGAAATATTGAGGAAGAGCACAAACAAGCAGACTGGAGAGGAGAGCATTCATACTAAAGTCCACAAGTCCGTGGACGGACTGGCATCTTTGTCCTACGGGGTGACATAAAAATCGTCGGACGAGCAGACGGGCCCCGACCATCTTTGTGCCTGCTTTCGATAGATGCGATGTGCAAGAACTGCAGTGACACAAGGAACACTGATAATGCTGACGATAAACCCTAAAAGAGTCCAGTTACGATGAGCAGCAGAATTCCGCGTCTTGCGTGCATGAGATCGCTGAATCTGTTCACCTATGAAATTTACACAAATCAAAAATGACTCAAACTGAACGCCTAGCCAGGACGAAATATTCCTAATGACCGGTGGTAGTCGCAGAGTTAAGCTACCAAACGGACGGAGCAGAAACTTCGTTGCCAAAGTCGACGAGCATCGTCGACTTTGGGAGCCTTTGAATGTGACTATGAACCCATGGTCCGGGCCAGTCCTTCAGTACGGTGTGGATGTTTGGCTGTGCTCGTGGACGAAACCACCGCTAACTGCGAACCACCCTCCGAGTAGGATACGCGATTTACATCCCGAATGATGCAGTCCACAATTGCTGCGATGTCGCGAGGACTTCCCAAGTCAATAAATAAAAACAACTGAGGTGATCTGGGTACATTAACCGCAGTCCTTGAGTTAAGCGCTACTGGCAAACCAGGGGCTACGAAGCGGTAAACACAAGACCTGGCTTGACAGTCCATCGAGACACGGAGGTGGCTTTTGGACCGCCAGTACTAGGTCTTGTCCCCTATGACAGAGTGGGTGGAGCGTACCAGATCTGACATCGAAAAAAATGGCGTGAACCAGCGCTATACGCAACATCGTTAACGCCCTCCAGAGCAGGAATAGCCATTTCGTGCTCATCTGGTGCAACGGACGGGAAGATCCGCGGTTTAATCAGGGTTTAGTTAGTCGTCCAGAATGCACGGGTCCAGGGTTGCTGATATTGCTGAGTGACGACCAATAAGTTTGAAACGGCTCGTCTGTCTTTTTTGCCTTTGTTTCCAAGACCTCTTGACCACCTCATAGTCTTCACTACGCGGGGGCCTGTGAGGATTCTAAGCCCACGTTAAAAGGAACGACTGAACGCCTGATCCTATCCTGCAATTAGAACCGATCAGATCGGGGACGATCATTTCTGTGACCAGTACAAGTAGTAATCGTAACGTCAAAACGTCACTTTGAAATTCTTAAAAACCATATTTTTGCTACAGCAGTACAGTCACCTCTGAACGTAGGTGCTGGATAGTGCGCCACGCGCCTCCCATTGGCGTGTTATGTGCATAAGCAAAACACATCTCTGGCATAACACTACGCGGCCCCAAATCGCAATCACGACGTGCCTAAAGGAGAGACTTTTGGGGTGGCGCTCCAGACGTCTTTATCAGGTCCAGCCTGTGGCATTGAATCTACACCTGGACCTATTGAAAAGGGTCTTGAAAGTAACTGCATCCCCGGCGGTAGCCTCAAACGCCACCTCTCCCGATCTTACACTTTGAATTCATTGGATCTGTGTGAGCAGTTTGAATCTTTTCATATTTTTTATCCGTTACAATAAGCTTTTATAACGCCACCTTTCATTGGGTTATTCGATTGCTGGATAGTTGCGATGGCTAACGAACATTCAAGCAAAACCACACTGCGCGGAGACGACTCTAAGACGAGGGACGACGAACCCTTGGGCGTAAGTCCCAAATCGGAAGAAGCCACACTATCGGGGAGCCCTTTGTGCTCGGGTGCTACACTGTCATACCGCTGTGGCGTTCGCTAACTTATTCCGATCGCATGACGGAGATGGACATCTTCGTTTTGCCTAGGGCCATATCCACTCTTCGGTCAGACTGTCAGCCTGCACTTAGAGTTGGAATGTCTTTGGCTGAAAACGACTTATAGGTCGAAAATGGCCTTCAGAACGCATATCGCACAACGCCTTAGTTAAATGATGTGGGAAAAAACTACTAAACAACTATACCGGGTTCACCCATATGGGTAGTCAAATCCTAAGTGGTGAAACTGATATGTTTTGCCAAGGTCTGGTGTCCCGTGCGAAGGGTTCGCCGGGAATCCTAGCAGAATGGTGTGGTACGTGGCCGGGGCAGGAAAGATCTGACGCATTGAACGCAATGCGCATGGAAAACGATCATGAACCCTACAAAAGCAGTGGCAAATACACGTATACAATGAACACTAAATTAACGCGCAGAGGTCGGTCCTGAGGTGGGTTGCATTATGTGTCTGACAACAGCAAGCAACCGATGTCAACTTTAGGTCTAAAAACGACAGTAGCCTAGCGATAAAACCGGACAGTGGGCAAATAGCAGTTCATGGCTATATGCGTCACCAAGACGGTCTCTTCACAGTTTCGTTTTAAGCTTGTCGACATTCCGCAAAAGCTCCATTCATACAACCTCACAGCTACTCCTTCTCTAGAAGGACTGGGTTGTCCTGTAATTTCGACTAGGGCAAGAACATGATTATTGAATATTATACGCAGTGATGTCAGCAAGTCCATAGCTTCAGTGCACTAAGATACTAAGGAATATAAATTAATGAGTAATCGATGAGAAACAAACTTATGAACACTCTCATGAGTAAGTAAGCAATAAAATACACAAAACAAAGAGAGTATAATAATTGATGCAAATTAATAAACTAGATAAACTATCGTGAAGACAGATGACAACACCTTGAAAGAAGACGCAGACAGGGAACGTTGAAGCGTTGGCGAGGCGCTGTATACAGCACCGATGTCAATTTTGTGCGGACAAGTTTTGACCAACTCCTTCCTTAAAGATATAGGGTCGCTGAAGCTTTGATAACGGACATAGACATCGCCAGCAAGTGAAAAACTAAATTCTCTACGCGAAAGCTAAACAATGATAAACGGAATGAGACACTTAAACCGTATCCGCAGAGTTCTTTGAGTCGTATGCGAGCCAACGGGCAAACAACTCACAAGGGAACAATTTTTTGTAAAAAACTTTCAGGTGCTTGCTTAACTGCTCCCCACCGTCATCGAATAATGAAGCCGACATCCCACAAGGGAATCAAATGAGGCGCAGATGACCGAAACAGGTGTTCGCATACATTAAAACATGAGATACAGGTTAGTAATGACGACCTAATTTAATATATCCAGGTTCGGTAACAACTTCCGTGAAGCTTTAAGAACAAGATGACTGTCAGGAACACCAAACTACATGTTGGAGAGCACTGAGCAAGAAACTATTGGGTGGAATCCAGCGGATCAAACGAAGTGTCAAAACATATTTGTGATGAAACAGTGATGCATGACCGTAAAATAAGGATTGCTTTAATATGACTTGGCCGACGAAGGCTAGTAAACCAGAAATGGCCATTCCAGTCTCCCTTGTCTTTGTCGGTAATAAAATACCGCCTATACCATGCGCCTCTTTGCGGCTGCAAGTTGGGCTCGAGAGAGAGTCTGCAAGGCACAACGGAACGAGTGAGTTCTGTAAGAACGATTGATGAGCGCCCCACCGCAGCTTTAATATCTTTCTGGTTCTTTGTCAGATCTCGAGCTGGCATAAGACTCGTATCAGTCACTTGAGTGCTCGGCAGAAAGCTAGGATTGAGTAGTAGCAGACAGAACCACTCAAGCGGATAATAGGCTATGGCTAAGATCGGTAACGATAACTACTATCTGACGTTAGAAATTAATAACCAAAAATTCGCAGACCAGAATGCGCAAAAGGAAGTGAAACTGATAAATAATATGAAGCACAATGGAAAACTAGTGATCAGTAGTGCTGAATCCACTGATAGACTCTACCGTAGCGATGGCGTTTGTGATATCTGACCACTATGGCCAGTCTCACCAGGGACAATTGCTTTGGCCACCAGCAAAATCTGTTTTTCGACGCTTTTTTGGACAAGCCCTAACTTCAGGAAAGGAATTGGCGACTGATAATATCCGATACCGCGCAACCCCTACCTTCTTGACAGTCGACAGTTTGCGATCAGCACCTTTCTTCTCCTGAACCCTCCAAACCATAAAAACCACCATCAACTTTTTTTACTCCTTTTCGGCCGAAGTTTTTTCACTGCTAGCCATATTTGCGCTTAACGCTTCCCTGACAATGACTGTAAACTGGTATTAGGTAAAAATATTATTTTATTTTTATTATCATTGCTATTATGAAAACGCGTAATAGGTGCGAAAACGCGCATCGAACACAAAATTTGCGAATGGCCGGCAGTTTTTCTTTACGCGAAATCGGCAGCGAAACTACTAACCTTCACGGACTAACGAGTCGTTACGCACCGCTGTCATGATGGTGAGTAAGCTAGGCTACATATTCATGTGGTGGATGCTGTCTGACACTATACAATCTATGCCATCGTGGGCCGACTTAACGCATTTAAAGAACCAAAAACCTCCTTCTATGATTTAGATGCTGGGGGTTATATGTCTATTCGGGTTATCTATTTCAGGTTTTTCTTACAAACTGCAAAAATTCATTTGTGAGTTTTTGTGTTCACATCAGACCTAAGATGCTCTACTGACTACCCGGTAGATTTTGCGTATATAACTACGTTGAATAACAACTTAAACTCTGCCTTGCTTGCTTCGTAAGCATATATATATACGTCTGAGATGTCTGTATGACATCGCCTTCTCTTAAACCCTGATAATTGTAACCAACTCCCTACTGGCTCTAGGGAAGATTTAAAGTTCAACGAACGAGTTTTTTTCTCCTGTAAAATAAATCCAATCATTTCTAACTTTTTGTATGGAGTTTTTTTCACCCCTCACTAATCATGTTTCTCAATGGACTACTAATTCAGAAACTACGAATTGCATTTTGTAAAGATTCTGCCTACCTCGTCTAAAACTCGCATGTTAATTTATTTTAACTTGCTTTGATGGGTATATTCGTCTGTAAGCGCAAATTAGACTTTCCTGGACAGATACTTAGAAAAATTCGTGGTTGTGTAACGCCCCACGAACTGTTTTGAGTTGTTTGGATGATGCGACATTTCCCACGCGGACCTAGGACGGTGATGGTGTAAGTGCGTGTCTGTTAAAACGGGCTGCACTCTTTCTTCGCCTTCTACTGCCGACCCCCTCCAAGAAACACATCGCAACGTTTGCTTCTCTCTCTTCACGTCGGCACCACCCTCGGCCCCTTCCTGTAGTTGCCCAAAACGTCGATCCCCACCGGCTGTCTGCCAGGCATGTCAGCGTCACCTCACAATCAACACAGGTCATCCCTCTGATGTAAATCAGTCCAGGTGTGCAATTAAACATTATCGAATCCTCCTCCCTCCTATCTTTCCCCATTATGCATTGGTGTCAGCCTAATTCTTCTTTTTTCCTTTAACACGAATGAGTATTGTGATGAACCAACGACTAAACTGAACTGAACTGAACTACCTAGATTGGTTATTGCTAGCATCTGTTTCCAGATATTCACTGACTCTGTGTAAGATATCCTTGGCGATCTCAGTCGCTACAGTCAAGCACAAAAGTTAAGCAGTTTTCATAAACACTTTCTAGTCATTGCTGTTAATAAGAAAAAGCAACAGCTGGTTCAGGTGCTTGTTGAAAATTTCTATGCATCGCCCACTGGGGGTGAATTAGCTTCCAGACTGCGGATGTGGAAAGTCCTGTTGTCCGCAATCCATGTAATCCACTTTATTACACCTTCAGTTAGACCAGACCCATTACGTGTCTCAGTAAGTAGTCACTGATAAACGGTTTAGAAATGGAACTACGCTTAGTCCTGGGACAGAGGGCCCTCCAAATATAATAATAATTTTGACATGAAGTTCACTGTAGACTAGGGCAGCTGAAAATTTTTAACACAGCAAAAAATCCTTGATGAGAATGTTCGGTCTTATCATGCTATGGCTAGTTAGCTTCAACAATGACCGAGTTGAAAGGCATATTTCAGCGAAGATGTAATGGAAACTATTGTTCCGCGTCCCTCTATGAGAATCCAGAGATGTTTTAGCAACAAATAGGAAATGTGCGCTGGGTGTCTGTTCGTTAAATATGCGGACGATGTGGTTGTTGGTCATCCTCTGGAAAGTCAGATTCATCTTCAGTTCGTGAAGGATGAGACCATTTATCAGTATAGTCTTTAGAAAATTGTCTCTTACTGAATAATCAGGAGTTGGTCTGGTGTGTTTTCTGGCTGCGACCTTCTTCCAGTCCTGAATCCGTGAACATCCTTCCCAACGATGTGCCCTCGTCCCGGTATCGTGGTGTTATTCTGACGCACAATCTTCCATTCTGCGTTCGTCTTCAGACACTTTTCGCTAACAATCTTTAACTTCCTCTTTACGCTAATTGTGTAATTTCTAAACACATACCCAAACTTTTAATCTGGAGATTCATAAATGTCTGCTTTCTCCGTCTCATTCATTATCGTTTTCCTGTAAACCTTCCTGCATAAAAAAGATCTGTGAATTTGTAAAATAGACTTCTAAATGCTATATTCTGCTACTGGTTTTTCTTGTGTCTTTCTAGTCTATATTATAATACAGCGATAATTCAAAACAGACGAACAGTTTGCTGGTCGAATTCTGGATGACGTCGTCCATTCCCTTCATTCCGGTCTAATTACTGCGAAGTCCTCCCGCTCCATATGTCTCGGCCTTTGCCATATCTATTGCTGTACATTGGCAAAGTAGCGTTCTGTTTTGCCCTTCCTGACACGCTATCTTACGTCTTAGGAGACAGAAACACAGAAACGGAGACTAAAACTATCTCCGTAATAGATCGCCCTTTTGTGCAGACCTTTTGACTCCTTCTGTCCACAGCGGGGGCAGCCCCCGGTTGATCCCGTGTAACGAACTTGCTATAAACAATAAAAATCTGGACAAGAGCACTGGATGCAAAACACATTGTGCATGTGGCATATACTGATTTCCGGCAGGTATTCGACAGTGTTCCGCACCAGCGTCCCCTGTAAACGTTGAGAGTAGTGGGCATTGGATGCAAATTTTTCAAGTGGATCGGGGATTCCTTGTCGGTCGTTCCCGAATTGTCTGCGTAGAACAATACCATTCAAGGCGCAAATTCATAGAGCGTGAAGTCCCACAAGGCTCAATGCTCGGGACAACCGTCTTTCTTGTTACGTATTAGTTTCCTTAAAAATGATCTACGAACTTCGAGTAGATCACTTTATTCAAGGTCTATAGGCACAGAGCGAGAATTCTATGCATGAATTGGAGTATCTACCAGAAAACAGACGGGGAGTGCTAGGAGACCCACTGACAATCCGAGGCCCTCGTATCTGCGCCATACAGCGGTAGAATATCGACGAAACACGTGTGCATGAAATTTGTCCAGTACCTGTGCTGTTAGTATGGTACCACCTTACTCCAAACCCTCTTTCTCCTGTTCATTAATGATCGTGTAGATTGGTTGGACTGTGATAGTGCGATGTTTGCAGATGACATCAAAATCTGGTAAGTTATCCACGCTGTTGCTGACGAGATCGACTTCCAAGAAAATCTTTGTTGGTTGGACGAGTGGTCCCGCAGATGGTTACTGTCCATCAATTTGAACAAATGCACCATAATGCGTCTCGGAGGTCAGACCCCGAGTACGCGGAAATATCATCTGAACGGAATGCTACTCCGAAAATCAGAAACGCAAAAAGATCTTGGAGTCTGGTTTGCAGACAGCCTAAAGCCTTCTACACAATGTTGTAAGGCGGTTAAGGTCGCAAATTTAATGTTATACGCAATCAATCGGGAATTCGCAGTTTAAATAATAATACTAATAAAAATAATAGTATTCGATGCCAATTTACAGGCATTGTCGGGGAAGGTTAAACACTAATCCGGTCAGCAGTGGAGAAAAACTCCTGACACAAAAAAGTAAAAGTGAAGGTGACTGGGATTTTTCATGATTTGGAGGATTCAGGAGAAAAAAGTTTTTCATGAAGACTGGTTCGCCAAAATCTTCGGCACGTTTTTGAGGCCGCATCTCGAATACGCAATTCAGGCCTGAAGACCGTGGATGCAGCAGGATTGCAATCTGCTCGAAAGGGTGCAGAGA